ATCTGCTCTATCACTTTCTAATTCTTCATTATAGATAAATTCTTTAATTCTATAAGCTTCAGTTTTCTCAGCTGTTAAGTAGAAATAATTATAGAACCTACTTGCAGTGTTATGGTAACAATCAAGTAAAACATGACAAGTGCTCAGTAAGTGGTGGGTGTTATTTCCCTTATGCAAAGTTTTGTTTTGTTGTTGTTGTTAATGGAGTCAAATCTATCAGTCTCTTCCAGCATGACTTCTCGATTTTAGCTTTTGTAGTGAAAATAATCCTAATATAAAACTCATTTTCTCAAATAACCTTTTTTTTTTTTTTAATGTTTTTTTAGGGGTGCCTGGGTGGCTCAGTCCATTAAGCGTCCGACTTCAGCTCAAATCACGATCTCACTGACAGTGAGTTCGAGCCCCACATCAGGTTCTGTGCTGACAGCTCAGAGCCTGGAGCCTGCTTCAGATTCTGTGTCTCCCCCTCTCTCTCTCTATCCCTCTCCCACTCACGCTCTGTCTCTGTCTCTCAAAAATGAATAAATGTTTAAAAATTAAAAAAATAAATAAATGGTTTTTTTTTTAATTTATTTCTGAGAGAGAGCGAGCGAGCATGAGCAGGGGAGGGGGGAGGGTCAGAGAGCAAGAGAGGGAGACACAGAATCCGAAACAGGCTCCAGGCTGAGCTAGCTGTCAGCACAGACCCCGATGCGGGGCTTGAACCCACAAACCGTGAGATCATGACCTGAGCCGAAGTCGGATGCTCAACCGACTGAGCCACCCAGGCTCCCCTCAAATAACCACTTCTTACCATTTATTAAACAATCCATCCTCTTGTCACTAATCTGAAATTTGACTTCTATCATAAGCAAAATTCCTATACGTATGGAGGTCTATTTCTGGCTCTAAACCAGGGATTAACAAACATTTCAGGTAAAGGGCCGGACAGTAACTCTGCCTTGCAGCACAAAAGCAGTCACAGAAAATGTGCAAATGAATAGCTGTATTCCGATGGATACTGAAATGTAAACTTCCCATAATTTTCATGTCACAAAGTATTCTTCTTTTAGGTTTTTTACCCCCCAAGCACTTAAAAATATAGAAGTCACTCTTAGGTCACAGGTCATACTAAAATAGGTTGCCAACTTGTGCTCTAAATCTTTACATTTAATACATTCTTAGAATTTTTTATATTTCCAAAACTCTACAAAATAAATACATGTGAGAAAAATGTTAAACATGATATAAGGCCATACAGTGAAACCTCTCCCTCCTATCCCAGAGGCCCAGGTCCCTTCTGCAGTGTGTATCCTTCCAAACCTACTGCCACTATTAAACATCCCAGCATAAGCAGCCTTATATATACATGACTTTACACATATTATTTCACCCATAGGATAAATCTCTGAAAACAGAACTGCTAGGTTAAAATTTCTTACAGTATTCATTTTGGCATGTAATTGATCAGTCTCGATAGCCTTTCCCTTGCTCAGGGTAAGTCTTCCAACATGGCTTTATCTGTATCTCACCTTCTTAACCAACTTTTAAAATGGTAAATATTTGTTCCAGATTACAGACTTTAAACTATAACTACTATGGTCAATGAATCCTTCCTCAGCATTCCATTATAGTTCTTAGCTTATTGTTATCAATGTCTTAGAGTTAAGAAATAAGTTATACTATTTTCTTTAGTCTCTGTTTCTTGAATTCCAGATCTATTTTTCTTGGATTAATTTTTCACTTGATAGAGTACATCCTGGGATATTCCTAGTGGGTATGGGTGAAAATGACTTTATTTTGCTTCCACTTTTTTTTTTTTTAATTTATTTGAGAGACAGAGAAAATGCATGCAGGAGGAGGGGCGGGGAGAGAGAGAGAGAGAGAGAGAAGGAGAATCTCAAGCAGGCTCTGCATTGTTAGTGCAGAGTCCAACGTGGGGCCTGAACATGAGAAACTGTGGGATCATGACCTGAGCCAAAATCAAGAGTTGGATGCTCAACTGAGTCACCCAGGCACCCCAACCCAATTTTGCCCCCACTTTGAATGCCAGGTTGGTTAGGGATAAATTTCTGAGTCTAAAATATGCCCCAAGAGCACTATTTAAACACTGCTCCACTGTTATCTAACATTCCATGTCCCAAATTAGAAGTCTAACTGCATTATCTCATTTTCACTCCTTTACAGGTAACCATATATTTCTCTTTGGAAGCTTATGAGATTGTATACTTATTTATCCATGAAGTTCATAAATTTCATTGGAATGTATCTAGGTGTATCTATCAATACTCGTTTAAGGCCCTCAGTATGTCTAGTCCATTCATAAACTCAGATACTTCTACTAAGACAAATTTCTTTTCTTTCTTTCCTTGACATAGTATTTTATTTCCATTTTACCATAAGGTAAGAATGGGAAATCTGGCATCTATTGTGAATTGTGAGGGGAGGAGAATGAGAGAATAGGAGCTGTTTGCACAGCCAGAAACCTTCAACCTGTGCCACATCTTTCTACAAGCTCTCTGAAAAGGTTATGCTTACTGATCATCCCCACTACACAGATGAAATGGAGACCTGAGAAGGAAGGGCTGATTTACATTTGCCAGTACTTTGTTTCCCGATACATTTTTCTGTTTGGCTCTGAATGACCAAGATTCTGCCTGGATACGCCTACCCTCATGATCTCTGTGGTTATTTCTCCCCTTCTAATTTCTATTCCTTCCTGGAATTGCTGTTAGATGTGCATTGACTCTTTTGGATCTATTTTAGCTATTTTTCATTCTGTGTTTTACTATGTTTTAATATTCAAGAACTGATTGCTTGTTTTCAGGACAGCCTGTTCAACAGGCATGGTGTCCTCCCAAATCTGAGCATACTAATATTAATTTTAAAGTTTTGTTTCTTACATCAACTCCGTTGCTTCAGGTCTAGTTCTTGTTATTTGTTCCATCTGGGGCATCTTTCACATGCCACAGATTTCTGCTGTCTATCTCCCTCCCGCCTCATATAAAAGTTTCTGATTTAAATGTTTCTGTTTCTGATATAAATGTATCAGCATCTCAGTATACACCAAAATCATTGTACTCCTGCATTAAATTCATATTTGTAAATAACCCTATAATTCAATTTTACATTTACACTTAGTACTTGTACAGTATGACAGCAATGCTAAGTTTACTGACTTGCAATCCCATGATTCTTCAATCCATTTTTAGTCATATCCTTTTGGTGTTTCGTTTCCCCTAACAACGACCGATTTGAGTAACACTGTTCTTACCTAACCGTTATGCAATAAGCTTCAGGGACAGATCATCACCAGCTCTCCCTAGCAGACTTATTAGACAGTTAAACAAGTAATGACAGTCTGGTAGAAGATTGTCATAGGTGTGCAATCCAAAAAATAAATAACAATAGGGTAATAAATCACTTAAGTCTTGAACTCATAATAGTTATACTTTTTACCCATCTTTAATGTTATATAAGTTAAAAGTAACAAATTCTATTGAAAAAGAAAAGAGTCCTGGTTGGTTAAAACAATTTTCTGCCTACCTTAGTATAGTTATTTCACAGCTGACAGAAATGCACACAAGTGTGTGTTCACCAAGAACATTTACAAGAATGTTCCATAGCATTCCTCAAAATACATAATTAACAAAAATTGGAAACAAATAGCCATCAACAAAAGAACAGTCATATGGTCATACAATGGAATACTAAACAGCAATAAAAAAAAATGAACTACTGATACATGAAACATCATGGGTGAATCTCACAGGCAATGTGTGGAACATTCTGCATGAATCCATTAACATCAAGCTCAAAACAGACAAACCTAAGAGTTGATGGCAGAAATCGGGGAGAAGGGGGGCGGCAGCAGTAAAACTTGGAAGAAGCAGAGGGAAACTCCTGGGATGATGGAATTGTTCTATAAGTATAATTTCACCTAGCTTGTGGTTATACAAGTCAATAAATATTAACTGAGCTGTATAAGAAAGATTTATGAACTTGATGACTTCATATGTATATCTCAATAAAAAAGTTAAGAAAGACAAAAACGTAATTTCCAAACTATTTGGAACTAAAACTGTGTGTACTGATGTCAAAATTTCCCAAGCCATAAATACTGGAAACCCGAAATCCTTTTTACCTTTTTTTTTTAGTCACAAGAGAGTTTTTAAAAAATGGTACCAGAAGAACCATACAAAATGAAGGTTAACATTCTCAGTCATAAAATACTTGGTTTCCCACCTCCAAGTTTGGAAGTATGGTTTTAATGCGACATCTAAAGACAACATTAATTCCATGAGAAATGAAGGCCCAGTTCCCCAGAACCTTCAATGAGGTTAAAAATGTCCACACACTGCACATAAATCTCAAGAGCAGGCTGAAGGATAAAAGCTGAAGATTTATAATCAATGTTTCATCCTGTCATCACAAATAAAAGCATCACTACCGGCGTTCACAAATGATTCCGCAGCAAGGTGTTCGGCCACAGTGCAATTTTCCAGATGCCGTCTGAAAATACAAGAAGGTGCCTGCCCTGTGGTGTCCTCGGCCCCACTCAAGTCTACACAAACGTGCATCTTTTAAAGGTGCCTGGTGTCTGGCAGAAGCCGCGAGGGGCTGCTGTCAGCGGATTCTACTTAACGCAATAAAGGGGTAACAGCTGACTGCAAAGTTTATGCACTGAGAGAAGCAGGGATGGTGCTGAGTTAGAGCTTTAAAAGAAAAAAAAGTGACAAAAATAAAACACACCCAAACCAACGGTCTCTGACAGCATCGTTCTCAACAGAAAACTCAAATCGCTCCGAAAAACTGTGGCTTTTCCTGACACCGCAGCGGTCTCCGGAGGGCTTCTCCAGGAGGCGACCCCATCCGGACAGGACCCCCTCTTGTCGGAGGGCTCGTCGGAGAAAGTGACCCGACCCGGACAGAAGGGACCCACAGCCCTTGGCCCGCACCGCTTGGGCCCGAGTCGCGAGAGCCGCGCGGGGAGGCAAGGCCGGGTGGGGCCGGGTACTCACCGCGTTCCTCAGTCCTCGCAAGGCGACCGCCGCCCCGCCGCCTCCTCCCCGGCAGCGGGCATACCCCGGCGGCGCCCCGCGCACAGGGGAAGCAGCCACCTCACAGCCCACGGCACGCCGCGGCGCCGACAACCGCCACTTCCGGCGCGCGTGAGGAAATGAGACAGCCGCTGCGGCTCGCGCCGGTCCCGCCCCGCCCACGCCCACGCCCAACACCGACAGCCCCGCCTTAGCCCCGCCCACTCCCCGCCCGCACCCAGTGTCAGGCAGAGGAAGCTCAGTAACTGGCATACAATACTGATTAATCGATTATCTGTTTAAAATATGTATGTATGTGGTTCCAAAACGATATGTAGAGACCAGGAGAGTGCCCTAGACAGAAAACCGTTCTCCCTGAAGCAAGAGTCTACAGGGACGGGAGTGCCAGCTCTAGCGGACCGCTGACTTTGCCAGAGGGCGAAACTCAGCTGAGGATGGCAGCGCTGTACTGTCCGGGACCCCTGTCCTGGAAGCCCGAAGGGGCGAGGAGTGCCTTCGTGGGCTAAGGACGGACAGGTCGCCAGAGGTGTCCGAGCGTCCTAGCGTGTACTGGGCTGCGCGCGAGGCCCCAGCGAGGAAGTCCTGAGCTGCCACTGAACCTTTAGCCATTCCGTTTCTTTGGACCTGGGTTTCCTTATATGCGAAACGAAGGATTAGAGGTAGACATTCTAGAAGACGGCGTGAGATCTGATATTGCATGATTTTAGTGAGTGGAAAAAAAGAAAGCCCTCACTAACACCCCCTCCACTCAACTGCTTATTTTAGGGACATCCCCAGGGCACTTTGTCCAGCCCTGGAGAGTAATGGTCTGAGCAGAGGAGGGGATGCCAGACAGCGCGGCCCCTGCCTATGTCTGGGTAGGACCCGGAGGCGCTAAGAGCAGCGCTGGGGTCTGCCTCTCACCAGGTTCTGCTTTCGTTATAGGGCTACCTTGGCAGGTTACCACACTTAGCCTCTCTAAGCCTGTTTCCTCAGCGGTGTTGTAGTAACAACAGCATATGCTTCCTAAGGTGGTTGTGAGGGTTAAATACAATTTTGTATTTGAAGTCTTTGGCACTGTGCCTGGCGTATGGCAGGCAGTTGGAGCTCACTGTCACCAACAAGCACATTAGTCAGAGCAGAAGACTGAGGTGAGTCTGGGATGCATCCTGTAGAAGTGGCATTCCTCGGAGTATCTGCTCCTAATCACTGCTGTCTTCCTTGGACGATGGTTATTGGGATGTCTTTAACACAGCTGTTCTCCTCAGATATGTCTTGTGGGAAATCATACCAGTAAGAGAGTCCGGATAGTCTACTTCTAAGTCAGGCTTGCTGAATATGCAACTTCTTCCCAATTTCAAGGTGTCACTACTCACATCATTTTTTCTCGCATACCATTTCTGAGCAACTGTAAACATAGTTTTAACACTCCTTCCTCCTAACCTGGTCCAAGAGTAAATAATTCATCTAGTCATAGATTCCATGGGTCTGTGACCTTCTGAACACATAGTAATGTTCAATAAATGTGAGTGGAATTGATTAAAATAAGAACACACAAGGGTCTCTCCCTTATCCAGAATCTCTGCCACTTGACTAGCCCCTTGGGCAGATGGCATGAGTGACTAATTTTGCTAATTAAGCTTTCTGTCTGGATGCCTGGCTATGCTCTAGTATAGCAAGCGGCCTTGTGTGAGTCTACTCAGTATAAATTAGTTATCTAGTACTAAAACCTGCCATGAGTGTTTGTCCTGTAAGTCTGAGCTCCCAACTTAGGAGTGTGAATGCAGAGGTGAAGTATTTTGTCTTGGGAGAATTAGAGGGTGGGTACAGAGCACAGCATTGGTGGATTTGAGAGGATAAGGCAGACATTCTTTAAATGCTTAAGGTGTTATTTCAAGTAAATATAAATGGCAGGCCACTGAACTGTCTGGGGATTATATTCCCAAGCTGGCAGCTTTGAAGTTCTCAATCCAAGTTCACTACATGTTCTTAGTTAAGATGTTATAATCGGCCTGTACTTGACATTCCTGCTGATGGCCCTTAGGAATTCCATAGAAAAAAAGAGTATCTGGATCTTGTCCTCTAGCCTCATATCCAATAATGGCAAATGCTTGGGCTGTTCTTTATGTTGTCCCTAGACACTTTAAATTGGCTGAGCTTATCTGTCTCCTAGGGCAGGGACAGCACCCCTAAGCCAGACACAGGGCCTGACCCATTACAGGTGCTCACTGCATACCCACGGATATGTGAATGAATGAATGAATGCATAATGGTAAATTCTACAGCTCTAACTTTCCTCTAATGGGGGCCAAAGTAACAGCATGAGAAGTCTATACTTTCACTAACCAGATGCAAAACAGGCTCATTTCCTAATGTGCTGCAATGCACAGTAAAATCACTCCACTCCATGTTAAACATTCCATTCTTTCTCTACTTCCACTAGCCTTCTAAGTGCTGGGCTTTCTTTTTTATTCATAGTGTTTGTTTTTCTTCCTTTATCCCATACTTTCCTTACTGATCATTCTGCATAGCCACATCTGGCACAGGCTGAGGGTGCACTCAGCAGCGCTGGTTTTCCCAGTGCTCCTTCCATTTTAATCGCTCTAATCCTCTTGACATCCCCGTGGAGTAGTTTATGGTCCTCTGTTTACAGTGGAGAAGACAGAAACTCTGAGAGGAAACTGCAGAGGCTCTCCCAGGACAGAACCTGACATGAAATGGAAGCAATGGGGTTAGGGTTTGTTGTCACTTCTTGTAAACTGTTATTCGAATCCTGCATTAGAACTGTTGTTTTTAAAATATTTGATTCTGCCACCAATGGATTTAAGTTGTTAGTGTTTTATTATTTTTTAAATTGTTACACTAAATGTGTGTAATTTAAATTTGGAGAGAAGATAATGGATAATTCAAACCCTTTGGCAGCTAATAGGTGATCTACTGGGGAGCATAAAATAAGTAGTTCCATTGAGAAAAATACTAAAGGACAGTTGTGGCATATTAATATCAGAAGAATGTAGTGTTCCCTCCCGCCCCAATCTCCAATCTGAGGCTTTGTTTTTAACTATAAACCTTTCCCACTCCACTAGTCTACTTTTGAGCTCCTGCCAAATGAAAGTGATGGAGGCTGGGGCGCCTGGGTGGCTTAGTCAGTTGAGCGTCCGACTTTCGCTTGGGTCATGATCTCGCAGTTCGTGGGTTCGAGGCCCGCGTCGGGCTCTGTGCTGACAGCCAGCTCAGAGCCTGGAGCCTATTTCGGAGTCTGTGTCTCCCTCTCTCTCTGACCCTCCCCTGCTCACGCTGTCTGTCTCTCTCTCTCTCCTAGAAATAAATTAAAAAAAAAAAAAAGAAAGTGATGGAGGCTGACTCCCTTGCTGTTGCAAGCTCTGGTTAGCCTTTGCCTGTTCTCATTTGGGCCATCTTTGTTTCCAGTTTTCCCAGTGGCTCCACCAAGATATAGTCTTCCCTGCTTGTTGCCTTCAATCAAGTGTGGTATCCACACAAGCTCCTTGTGCCCTGCGTTTCTTGGTTTATCAAGCCTATAAGGATATGGTAAATTGGCATTGGGTCTGACCTCTGCTTGCTTTGCTTTGCTTTGCGCTGAGTTCCTTGGGTATTTATTCTCGGTGTGGGAATCTACTTTTTGTTATTGATTTCCATTTGTTTGGCATCTTTGATGGAATCAGTCCATTCCTTTCATCCCTTTTTGCCATCTTTTACGTTACTAGTTTGTGTCCTGTCTATAAGTGTTGTTTGTCATATGGAGAATCGTGGGGTAGAACACTGTCACAGGCTCTAGAATCCTGTTGCTTCAGCTGGCTTCACAGACTTTGAAGAGTCTGGGATTCTCACCAGACCAGCGTCCATCTTTATGTTCTTCCTTGTGTGCCTTCCTTATGTCCAAATTTCTCTCTTCTGAGAAGGGTGCCCATCACTGGGTTAGGGGCTACCTTAATGCAGTATGACCTCATCTTAACTTGATTGCATCAACAGAGACCTCATTTTCAACAAAGAGCTCCTCCCGGGCTCTGGGAGTAGGACTTGAACATATCTTTTGGGGGACACAATTTTACCCACTATAGATGGCAACCTCACCAATGTCTGGTAAGATTCAGGTGCTACTCTTTCTGTATAAACCCTGCCACTTTTGCTCACCCTTTTCCTGGGAGTAAACATACAGCAGATGATAAGCATTTTTAAAAACCCACAGATTTTCTCTATTTCCTAAACCTTACCTGTAAGCTTTGAGCCCTTGATTGCAAAAGGTTTCTTCCTGCTCTGTAATACTGTCTCTGCAAATGTAACAGGGAGACACTTTACTCTGCAATATTCAATGCACACCAGACTACTTGGGACTATTTGTGAGATTCCAAAGGATACTTTTATTCATAAGCAAGTTGATTCTGCTCTGGATATACCTTTGTCTTCTCCATTATATTTGATACATATCCCAGATAATTTTCTTGACATTTTATGGGCTAAAAGTTTTACTGTAATGAAGAAAAAATAACTGGAGCAGAACCTATTAAAGTTCAGAGAGAACCTGCCAAACCATTATTCAAACTTCCCCAATATTCCTTGAAGTCAGAAGCAAAGGAAGGTATCAAACTTACAGTTGAAAGCCTTATATCCAAAGGTCTTCTCATCCCTTCCCCTTGTAATATGCCCATCCTGGCAGCAAAGAAACCAAGCGGACATAAATACCCATTTGTTTAAAAACTTAGAGACATTAACAAAATTATTATTCCTCACTTTCTAACCCATATACCATCCTGTGAGCCACTTACTGAAGCCACTGGATGTAGTGAATCTTTGCTCAGCTTTCTTCAGTGTGCTTCTAGAACATGATAGTCAATAACTTTTTGTATTCATTAACAGCAAAAGCTCCATAACATAGAATCTACAGTTTTACCCATTGTTTTATTAAACAATTTTTTTAACGTTAATTCATTTTTGAGAGACAGAGAGAAAGACAGAGCATGAGAGAGGAAGAGAAGGAGACACAGAATCCTAAGCAGGCTCCAGGCTCTGAGCTGTTAGCACAGAGCCCGAAGCAGGGCTCAAACTCACAAACTGTGAGATCATGACCTGAGCTGAAGTCAGACGCTTAACCGAGTCACCCA